ATCCCCGCCTCTTTGACCTGTCTGTCTCCTCTCCACCTATCTTCTCCTTTATCCATCTTTTATCCACCTCCCCCGCTCTCCCTATTTATTTCAGAACCCCCTGCCCCATTTCTGAAGGGTCTAGACCTGAAAAGTCAGCTTTCCTGCTCGGCCTGCTGCATTCATCCAGCTCTACGCCTTGTTATCCATGGTTATGACGTACATGTGAATACAATACTGATAAATTCCACAAAGATAAATGGAATGTAACAATGAAGGATTGCAAACATCAGTGGAACCATAGGCAAGCAAGTAACAATGCCTTCAGAAACTGAAAGACCAGGTGAAGAAAGAAAAAAAGTAACACCAGAAAGATCCATTTCAGGTCCCTGAATACCTACCTCAAGGCAGACAAAATCTGTGTGCACCATCTCTTCCAAGCCTAAATAGAAATGAAGAAATATTTTTCATACTATATTCCACATGCGAATATAACTGTTTAAAGAATATGGTTTATATTTACAGTCACTGCACTCCTACATCATGGAATTAATAATTCATTTTAACTCAGCTAAATTATTGGAAGGTAGCTCCAGATGCAGGCTGCTGACACTCATGTTTACTCGTGCACTGCAATGCTGATTTCATTGACAATTATTTTTGAAGAATTTGGTCACTCAATCAGCAAGAACTGTGGGTCTTTCCTTTCCATTAGAGGGGTGCAGTATTGTACCTTAGTTAGCATCCATATTCCTCTAACTTGTGTGGCTGAAGGTTGTCTTGCACCTGATTATGAGCTTAACCTCACCCTATCTCAGTTCTTTTCCCAAAAGAGTTTAATTGGACTCAATGTTAACTTTGTTTGTCCCTTCAGATATTGACAGACTTGTTGAGTTTGGCCAGCACTTTCCATTTTTATTTCACATTGCTTCAGCAGAGATCACTACTAATGTGAATAAGATAGAAATTCTTGAATAGTTTACTGTCACGATGGTTGTTCCTTTGATTATTAGGAACTCTATTTGGACTCGAGGCCTGTGATCAGCAGTGCTCCACAGGACTGGTACTGGGTCCACTTTTGTCTGTCATTTATATAAATGATTTGGATGAGAATTTAGGAGGCATGGTTAGTAAGTCTGCAGATGACTCCAAAATTGGTGGTATTGTGGATAGTGAAGAAGGTTATCTAAGATTACAAGGAGATATTGACCAATTGGGTCAATGGGCTGAGGAGTGGCAGATGGAGTTTAATTTGGATAAATGCGAGGTATTGCATTTTGGGAAAACAAACAAGGCCAGGATTTATCCAATTAATGGCAGGGCCCTGGAAAGTGTGTTGTAGAACTGAGAAACCTAGGTGTTCAGGTACATAGTTCTTTGAAATTTGTATCACATGTAAACAGGGTGGTTAAGAGGGTGTTTAGCATGCTTGCCTTCACTGCTCAGACCTTTGACTATAGGACGTCATGTTGTGGATGTTAGTGAGGCTTCTTCTGGAGTACTGTGTACAGTTCTGGTTGCCCTGGTACAGGAAGGACATTATTAAATTGGAGAGGGTTCAGAAACGATTTACCAGGATGTTGCTAGGAATGGAAGATTCTAGTTATAAAGATAGGCTGGGACTTCTTTCACTTGAGCATATGAAGTTGAGGGGTGACCTTGTAGAGGTTTATAAAATCATGAGGGACACAGATAAGGTGAATAGTGGGGGTCTGTTCCCTAAGGTGTCAGAGTTCAAAACTAGGGGGCAAACTTTTAAGGTTAGAGGAGAAAACTTTAAAAAGAACATGAGCAGCACCTTTTTTTTCTTAAAAACACAGAATGGTTTGTATGTGGAACGAACTGCCAGAGGAAGTGGTGGATGCAGGTACAGTCCCAACATTTAAAAGACATTTGGATAAGTATGTGAATAGGAAAGGTTTAGAGGGATATGGGCCAGACGCAGGCAAGCAGGTCTAGTATGGTTCAGGAACATGTTCAGCGTGGATTAGTTGGACTGAAGGGTCTGTTTCCATGCCATATGACTCTAAAAGCTAACTTCACAATGCAGACAGTAGACAGGATAATAATTTTGAAGAGAGATTATTTTATTGTGAATATTCCATACATACTAGGACCAAAACCCAGCCTTAATGACACATACACAGCTACTGGGGCCATGGCCTAGTGGTATTATCACTAGGCTATTAATCCAGAGACACGGCTAATGTTCTGGGTACCTGGTTTCAAATTCTGCTATGGCAAATGATAGAATTTGAATTCAACAAAAATCTGGGATTAAGAGTCTAATGATGACCATGAAACCGTTGCTAATTGTCAACTGGTTCACTAATGTTCTTTAAGGAAGGAAATCTGCCATCCTTACCCAGTCTGGCCTACATGTGACTCCAGACTGACAGCAACGTGGTTGACCCTCAACTGGGTAATTAGGGATGGGCAATACATACTGGCCTGGCCAGCAATGCCTACGTAAATCAATAAAAGAAAACAGCCAGAAATTCACAGAGAAAAAACATATTGGGGTCAAAGACACCTGCTCATTATGCTAAGTCTACTAGGAGTGAAACATCCCAATTCTCCATCTTCACTTCACTACTTTCTGTATCTACAAGTTTGCTTGAAATTGAAACATACTTCACGTTTCATAATGAATGCAGGCAATACTCTCCAATAAACTCAAAGCTATGGCTTTTTTGTGGTCCTTCTACATCTGATTGAGGTTTTGGGTTCATGCCCCCTCTACAACAACGCTACTGAACAGAGTTCCAACCTCAAACTAGCTTGATACACCATTGCACTTACTTCTATCCAAAACCACTGGAGTTGCGACCTTCTCTATTTCAGCTAGACAGGTCTTCTGTCAAAGAAATGATATGTCCACATAAATTGGATTCTCACTTTGGAAACAACTTAAGCCATGGTCTGCTGGAAATTCAAATATCCAATATACCAGCAAATCAAAATTATTTGGAGTGCTTTCCTTCTCCATTCCTATATCTTATTTCCTGGTGTGTCCACCTTGGAAAGGCAAACTTTGCACAAAATGACCTGGCTAAGATACTAATAGTACCTTCAAAGTGCACCCAAATGAATACCAGCATATGAACAGAGTGGAAGGTGGAGAGGTGCATACTTTCCATCTCGTACTAAGTTGCGTTTAGCCACATTTTGGGAGTAATTAAGCACATGTACACCTCAAATAAGAGTACCTTCAGACATCAACTCTGCACGTTGTCCAGATGGCCAAAAGCACCACCGAATCTTCCAAAAGTAGCTCATGAATATGCCCTGCAAAGTAGCAAAAATACTGCCAAGCCACCCCAAATGTTTGTAAACTAATCTGCAACCAACCTTTTCATTCATAGTTTTGTGGTTTTTCTTGGTTTTCTTCAAAAACTGTTTTAAGCTTCCTGATGACATGTATTCTGTTATAAATATAACCTGCAGGAACATAAACATACATGAATAACCCTTTCAGCGACTCCAAATATATTTAGCAAATGTGCGAACAAAACTTAATTCCCATCATTTAGCTTTTGTCCTCCAAATCTGAGACAATAAAACTCTTTTCTCTGCAATATATGCAAATTAAGCTGGCTTAAATTTTCCTTAATATTTCATGGTCTGAGTACTTTTCTATTAGATTCTTAAATTTTTTTTTAAACATGAACCATAATGTATCATGTTTGAAAGTGTTAAACGTTTCTTTATCACAGAAAATATTTGCACACCAAGGACAAAAATGAATTCAGACAAAGATTGTTCAGTCACAAGATCATTTAACAATTTTAAAATTTCATAGTAGATACTGGAAAGCAATTGTTAGGTAAAGTAACAGGAACACTAATGAGCATCAAGAGAGCTTACCCTAGCTTTATTTTCTTTCACATCTGCCCAATACTTGTGAAATTTCACAATGTTCAGGTGCTCCAGCTGGATGAGATTGTCAAAGACAGCCTTAACCTTATCCTATGGAACAAAAGCACACTCATCAGAATGGTGATGAATTTGATTCTTTTTACCTTTACCACATTTTCCAGAATTGAAAAGGAGAGTGGAAAGGAAAGGTCTAGTTGAAACTGCTTGGGCATCCCATTTAAAAATCATTCAATGCCTGGAGACTAAAATTTTTTAAAGAATTAAAAATTCTTGCAATCATCTTATCACCATACTTAACTTCAAAAACTGCCATCACACCATCCTCATTACCCACAAGGTTTAGGACACTGACTTCCCGTGGATAACAATAAACCGGACAACAATAAATGCAGATATCACTCCTCCATACTGTGAAGGACCACATAAATCGATTGACCAAGGTAAACCATAGTAGGTAATAGGAAAGAGAGAGACAGAGAGATGTCGTCTGTGACCAACTTCTTGAGTATGAGGATCCACGAGTAGCATATCAGTGGATAATGAGGACTGAATGTATTAGAGTTAACAAAGGCAGGAATAATCACTATAATATTTTTGAGTTTTATCTTTACCTCTTGCAGTTTAAAATTTTTTCTTTCCGAAAACTGGACTTCATTCCACACAACTTCCACTCCCTCCTCTGTGTCCATTGCCAGGTATGCGCTGTCAATCCCAGGAACATTGCGTTGATTCACCTACAATTAAAAAAGGATATTAAATTAAAATCAATGTAATTTGTTTTGCAAAGCTTTATAAGTTCGGTATTACACTTGAATCAATTAGTGAAACTCTGAACTCAGATGCAGCTAAGAGTTTCAACCCAAATTAAGACTCGAATGCAGAATCTCGACACATCAGTTTTGAGGGTCCTGCGTAACTTTTTAATGCCCTTCAGATGAGGCTTCAAAAATGAGTGCCTAATTTGCCTAGATAGTTCAGTACAGTTTAACCTAATCCTCGGTACACAAACATCTCTGTGAAATTTCAAGGAGTAGCAGCATAGGGCATATTTTTCCTTTGAATTTTTTCAACACAGATATAGAAGAATGAGTTCTCAATTTTTGTTGAATATTTTCATTTCTTTTCTGAGCAAAGAAATAATCTCAGGATCTGGCAGAAAAGAAATGCACCAATGGTGATCATTGGTTGAAAAAAAAGTTTCCTCAATATACTGTTAATTTCTTCAAAAATCTCCAAAATATATCAGTGAACTTTTCTCTTGCATTGTTGTAATGAGCTTTAAACGATGGTTACTTGGTGTCAAGGTAAAATGACCTGTTCTTAAGCAAGCATGTTAGCTTAATTGCCACAGATTAAAGGGGATCCAGTGTGCTGGGCAAGTGGTGTAAAGTGTTCACACTTGGAGATTCTGACAGGAGCTAGACTGACAGTCTAAGGAACCCGAATAAAATGCCAAGAATGTCAGGTTGTAAGCCGTTGTGCACAAAATTGTCCATTTACTTCCAAGCTGAGAAACAGTTTCTAAGATAGCTGATCACCATTTCTACCTGAATACAGGTGTTTTGTAATTCACACCACCAGGAAGATGGGTATTGAAGTGAAGGGTCTTGAAGAGAAGGGCAGCATAGTGGCTCAGTGGGGGTCAGCATTGTTGCCTTATAATGCCAGTGACTTGAGTTTGATTCCACCCTTGGGCGACTGTGGGTGGCATTTGCACATTCTCCCCATGTCTGTGTGGGATTCCTTCAGGTGTTCCTGGTTTCCTCCCACAGTCCAAAGATGTGCAATTTAGGTGGATTGGCCATAGTGTCTACAGATGCGCTGACTAAGTGGACTATCCATGAGAAATGCAGGGCTACAGGGATAGGGTAGGGAGTTGGATCTGGGTGGGATGCTCTTTGGAGGGTTGGTGTAGTCTCAATGGGCCAAATGGCCTGCTTCCACACTGTAGGGATTCTCTGATTCTATATTCCTGAAACACTCAAATAAGTTAATCTCAGGATTTGGAACAGAAAACAAAAGAGCAGCTACAGGCAGCAAGACAGTATAAAAGAGGGGAAGAGGAGAGACAAGTGATGTCAGAGGGGAATCAAGTTTAACCAACAGGTTTAAGGGTAATTAACTACCTTTAACAGAAATTATTTATGATATAAGAATGACCTAACTTCCATTATTGCAGTATAAACTGGTAAAACAAAGCCTCTAACCCAAGGTCAATCAGAAATGCAATGACAATTCTTTGTGCAGTGATAATCTTATGGGTGCATGCATATTTAATAGCAAACAAATTATGCGCTTCATTATTTGTGTAAGAAGCCATTAATGAAGAAGAATCTTCATGTAGCAATGCTTTTTCCCAACTTGCAATTAACCTCACATGCCTCCTGTGACTTGCATTTTCAAATATTGCTGCAGAGTCCACAGACAATATTAGTGCATGGGTGTACAGTCAATTATGTCAAAAATAGATGGTTACAATAATAACAGGACAAAATTATCTCCACTGAATTTCATTATAGCAACTTCAGAGAACTATGCAAAAGTTCCTTTGGGGAAAGTTTTAGGCTTACAAGGTCTGCACAAATTACTGTGATATTACACTATGTAGTTAAATTGAAATCAACCTTTTATGACCAAGTGCTTAGCCAGTGGGCATTGATTAAAAGCATCACTTTCCATCAATAAGTTTATCCTGTTAGCACAGAGCAAAAAATAATTGAATTTCAAAAATTAAACATTCTTACCGAAAACAGTTCTTTTAAAATAAAGTTGATATACATTGAATTAGATAAAAATTAATCCGGTTGTCTGGATGTTAGAGTTTTGGATCAGCTGCATTTTTTGCCACCACAAAATTCTGTTCCCTTGATAGTGTCTCCACAGCCCTCCCCAGCCATGGTCTCAAGCTGAACTGTACATTAACATAGAAACATAGAAAATAGGAAAAAGAGGCGGCTAATCAGTCCTTGAAGCCTGCTCTGCCATTCAATATGATCACGGCTGATGAACCAGCTCAATGTCCTGTTGCCGCTTTTGCCCCCATACTCTTTGATCCCTTTAACCATAATAAAAAAATCTAATTCCTTGGGTGGAGAAATTTCTCATCTCAGTCCTCAGTGCTCTATCCCATATCCTTAGACTGTGACCCCTGGTTTTGGACTCCCTCGTCATCAGGAACACCCTCTTGTGTTTACCCTATCTAGTCCCATTAGATGTTCATAGATTTCTAGGAGATAGCCCTCGTTTTCCAAACTCCATCAGATGTAATTCTAACTGATCCAGTGATGACACCTCAAGAATCCATCTGGTAAACCTTTGTTGCACTCAAGAACAGGAGTAGGCAGTTCAACCCCTCAAGCTTGTTCTGCCATTCAATGAGATTATGGCTGATCTGTGGCCAAAGTCTATGATTCCTGCCTTTGGCCCATTACCCTTAGTACCTTTGCTTAACAAAATAATTATTTCAGATTTAAAATAAACATCTGATCCAGCATCCGCTGCCTTTTTGGAAGAGAGTTCCAAATATCAACCACCTATTGTGTGTAGACGTGCTTCCTAACATTTCTCCTGAATGGTCTGGCCCTAACTCTCAGACTATGTCCCCGAGTTCTAGAATTCCTCAATCAATGGAAATAGTTTACCATCCTTCCTTTCCTATTAACATCTTGAAAACATTAATCAGATGACGCCTTAAATTTCTAAATTGTAGAAAATTCCCCTTATAATCAGAAGATTCTTCCCCAGAAAAAAGGCACAAAACTAGCCTGGAACCAATTATCTTCAGCAGAACTGCCAACTTCCATCTTTGTGAAACTCCCTGTATTTGCTCCTTCCTCAGCCCTCAAACCTTTAACCAAACCTTCATCACCTCCAGTTGATTATTTCAATGTTCTCATGCCCAGCCTCTCATTGTCTATCTGTGTAAAATCAGCTCAGCTAAAATTCTGCTACTCACATCTTAAGTCCTGCTGCTTCATCACCTTTTGCTGACCTATAACCCATTCCTTGCTCTTCTCCAACACAATTTAAAATTTTTGCCTTCAGCATGAAGTCTCTTTAGAGGATCACTCCTCATTTCCAACGCTGATTCTACAGACCTGCCCCAAAGCCTTCAGTCAAGTCCTAGATACTGTTAGCAACACCTTCAGCTCAATACTGGAGAAGATTCCCCATAAACTATTCTGTCTAAAGGTTTCTGTAAATTAAGCAAGAAGAGATTTGCATAAGGTAGTTCGGACTTGACCAAATACCACAAGAGTTGGCTAACAAAATTAAAGTTCGTGAAATAGATCAAACGTTAGTTTGGGTAGAAAAAAATGACTTAAAGATAGTAAACAGCACGGTCTGGTAAATGGCTTTTTTTCAGACTGGAAGACACTGGTATTTCAGAAGGGTCTCTTCTCGGACACACATATATATTCTTCTTTATATTTATTTACATATAAAATTACATCCCTTGGTTATTGGTATACAGAACAGAATTTCAGATGATAACCAACTTGGAGGAGTGACAACCAATAAGGATGCTGTGAATCGATTGTAACTAGACAGATAGGTGGTAGAGAGTGGTGCGGGGTGGGGGGGGTAAGGTAATAAAGACCAAAGGACAGCTCTAAAAAGTTCGTCAATGAGGTCATATTGATCTGGGGATTCATGTGTATGAATCTTACAGTCATAGAGTCACAGTCATACAGCACTATCCATGTTCTTGTCCAAATGTCTTTTAAATATTGTAAATGTACTCTCCTCTTCCACTTCATTCCATGAGCGCACCACCCTTCATATGAAAAGGTTGTCCTTCAGGTCCCTTTCAAATCTTTCTCCTTTCACCATAAACCTATGCCCTCTAGTTTTTGACTTCCGTACCTTGGGGATAAAGACCATGGCTATTTACCTTATCTATGTGCCTCATGATTTTATAAACCTCTGTAAGGCCACCCCTCAGACTCCGATCAGACAGCCTACAATCCAGCCTCTCCTTATAACTCAAATCGTCCGGTCTCAGTAACATCCTTGTAAATCTTGTTCTAGCAGGGCAACCAGAGTTATATGCAGTACTCTAAATGTTGCCTTACCAACGTCTTGTACAGCAATAACACGATGCCCAAAACCCTATATTAAATGCTCCGACCAACGAAGGCAAGTGTGCCAAATGCCTTCTTCCTGTAATGCCACTTTCAACGAACTATGTACTTGCACACTGAGGTCTCTCTGTTCAACAACTTTTATTGAATGTGACAGGACAAAGAGTAAGCAAAGTGAGTGGGATCTTGGGCTTTCCAAAAAAGGATCTAGGAATACAAAAGCAGGAATTCATACTGAACCTTTAAAAAGCCCCAGGTGAACCACAACGATAATTCTACAGTGAGCTCTGGTCACAACACTTCAGAAATGAAGGAAGCAAGGGTTTTAAGTGATTGATTGATTGATTGAGATTTATTGTCCCATGTACCCAAGTACAGTGATTAGCTTTGTTTGTGAGCAGTACAGGCAGACCATAGTAAGCAAGGACATACAGATTATAGGGTGAAAAAAACTTGCAAAGAATGAGACATACAGGTTACACTGCACAGAAAGTGAATGATGCAAGAACAACATTAACAAGATCAACATTATTTGAAGTTAGAGAGTCCATTCAGTCTAATAATGGTAGGGAAGAAGCTGTTTTTGAGCCTGCTGGTACGTGTTCAAGTTTCTGTATCTTATGCCTGTCAGAAGAGGTTGTAGGAAAGCA